TCTCCGCAACTTTTCATAACTAGAAATTTTACTTGTTAAGTTACGTATAGTGGTTAAAGGAACTTATCTGAAAGTGAAGGTAAACCACAATTATACGAAGTTCAATATCCGAAGACATTCAATTAACCTTGTAGTGAGCGTCATACGTATAGAGAGAATATAAAAAAATCTCTATGTTATCTGTCATCTATCACCATCTGTCAAGTTATTAATTTTAGAGTTTAAGTACTGTCAATATCGCATTATGATACCCAATTCCTCCCAAATTAATTATACTTCAGTTCAATGTTCTCCACATTCAATTAACCTTGTAGATGATAATTTTTTTTCTTTTATTATTTTTAAAGCATGTAACTGCTTGATGTTTAAATCTAAAGAAAATATAACTAGAAAAAATTCCACGCGGACCAGGCAGCAGACGGGACTCGAACCCGCACCCTTCGCAATCCGGGCGAATGCACTGACCAATTATGCTACCGCGGCCCTCACGGACCGCGTCGAAATTCTTTCTAGCTATTCTTAAGCTGCAAGGCAGCGCCATCTCTTCGCATTATAGGTAAACCCACAATGTCAAATGAATACTTTTACAAGTATTAAACATTTGAAAGAAGAAATAGCAATTATAGTGATAATTTTTTATTATTTTTAAAGCATGTAACTGCTTGATGTTTAAATCTAAAGAAAATATAACTAGAAAAAAATCCACGCGGACCAGGCAGCAGACGGGACTCGAACCCGCACCCTTCGCAATCCGGGCGAATGCACTGACCAATTATGCTACCGCGGCCCTCACGGACCGCGTCGAAATTCTTTCTAGCTATTCTTAAGCTGCAAGGCAGCGCCATCTCTTCGCATTATAGGTAAACCCACAATGTCAAATGAATACTTTTACAAGTATTAAACATTTGAAAGAAGAAATAGCAAATATAGTGATAATTTTTTATTATTTTTAAAGCATGTAACTGCTTGATGTTTAAATCTAAAGAAAATATAACTAGAAAAAATTCCACGCGGACCAGGCAGCAGACGGGACTCGAACCCGCACCCTTCGCAATCCGGGCGAATGCACTGACCAATTATGCTACCGCGGCCCTCACGGACCGCGTCGAAATTCTTTCTAGCTATTCTTAAGCTGCAAGGCAGCGTCATCTCTTCGCATTATAGGTAAACCCACAATGTCAAATGAATACTTTTACAAGTATTAAACATTTGAAAGAAGAAATAGCAATTATAGTGATAATTTTTTATTATTTTTAAAGCATGTAACTGCTTGATGTTTAAATCTAAAGAAAATATAACTAGAAAAAATTCCACGCGGACCAGGCAGCAGACGGGACTCGAACCCGCACCCTTCGCAATCCGGGCGAATGCACTGACCAATTATGCTACCGCGGCCCTCACGGACCGCGTCGAAACTCTTTCTAGCTATTCTTAAGCTGCAAGGCAGCGCCATCTCTTCGCATTATAGGTAAACCCACAATGTCAAATGCCTTGCAGCTTAAGAATAGCTAGAAAGAATTTCGACGCGGTCCGTGAGGGCCGCGGTAGCATAATTGGTCAGTGCATTCGCCCGGATTGCGAAGGGTGCGGGTTCGAGTCCCGTCTGCTGCCTGGTCCGCGTGGAATTTTTTCTAGTTATATTTTCTTTAGATTTAAACATCAAGCAGTTACATGCTTTAAAAATAATAAAAAATTATCACTATAATTGCTATTTCTTCTTTCAAATGTTTAATACTTGTAAAAGTATTCATTTGACATTGTGGGTTTACCTATAATGCGAAGAGATGGCGCTGCCTTGCAGCTTAAGAATAGCTAGAAAGAATTTCGACGCGGTCCGTGAGGGCCGTGGTAGCATAATTGGTCAGTGCATTCGCCCGGATTGCGAAGGGTGCTGGTTCGAGTCCCGTCTGCTGCCTGGTCCGCGTGGAATTTTTTCTAGTTATATTTTCTTTAGATTTAAACATCAAGCAGTTACATGCTTTAAAAATAATAAAAAATTATCACTATAATTGCTATTTCTTCTTTCAAATGTTTAATACTTGTAAAAGTATTCATTTGACATTGTGGGTTTACCTATAATGCGAAGAGATGGCGCTGCCTTGCAGCTTAAGAATAGCTAGAAAGAATTTCGACGCGGTCCGTGAGGGCCGCGGTAGCATAATTGGTCAGTGCATTCGCCCGGATTGCGAAGGGTGCGGGTTCGAGTCCCGTCTGCTGCCTGGTCCGCGTGGAATTTTTTCTAGTTATATTTTCTTTAGATTTAAACCTTGTAGATGTTAGAGCCTGGTTAACTTAAAATGGGACATATAATTTATTGATCACAGTCAATACATATTGCTTTACTGTTACTTTGGAATACTACAAGCTATTCAAAATATATATTCTATTTTTTATAAGCAAGTACCTACTTTCACCTATAAATATCTACTTATAGGTGGAAGTAGGTAACTTATCTAGGTTTAGTTTAAGTACTATACCTGGTTATGTTTTTATATTTTTTAAGCATTAAACTGCTAGATGTTTAAATCTAAAGAAAAGTTTTACTAGAAAAAGAAGAATATTTTTTTCTAGTAAAACTTTTCTTAACTATAACTGATACTTAGAAATAAAAGTACTTGTACAAGACAAGTAATAAATGACAATAAGCAAATGCCTTCAAATAAATTTAATGCAATAGTGTTTATAGACTATGTCATAAAAATATTCTTTATGTTTTGCTTTGCATAACTATGCAAGGAAAAATATTATTACCCACTTAAAAGTTTACATTTGTTACCGAATATCCAATTCTAAAGCATTTGAGGTCGCGAAGCCATAATCAACACAGAAAAAATTAACACAGATTCAAACCCTTTCCAGCTCTATTATGAAGATGTGTCTTCTTGATGTCTGTATTTGTAGATGAGATATATGAAGATTGCATAGTTGGTATTCTGTGAACATCAAGGGAACAACTCATTCACACCACTATAATTATTGTGAAATGCTTAAAATTAGTTAAAAATATGTACACAATAAATACTTTTGTCTAAAATAAGAACTACAAATAATACTTGTTAACGCCTACGAGTTCGCAACAGTAATGTTGCCGTGCTCTTCTTATTGGCTTGATATTTTTAGGGTTCCGTACCTCAAAAGGAAAAAAACGGAACCCTTATAGGATAACTTTGTTGTCCGTCCGTCTGTCTGTCAAGACCGGTTTTCTCAGGAACGCGTATAGGTATCAAACTGAAAGTTATATCTAATACTCAGGTTTACTGTCCCTTACAGCTGTGAAAAAATCGAACTTTTAAGCCAAAGCAATCAAAAGATACGGCCGTTTATGCCGCACATTTCTGCAAATTTTCGAAACTCGCAAGGGAATCAATACCCGTGAACTTAGAATCAAGAAATTTGGTACGAAGTAACGTCTTATAGTACAGATAAAGGAAAAAATGCGAAAACCGTAAATTTTTAGCTACATCATATAATAAAAAAAAATACGTTTGGCACTCGGGAGCTGCCGCGGTAAAGCTATTGCGTAGCATTTTTTATCAACTTATGCAATTAAATAATTATAATAATAAGAAAAAAAAAACTGCATAAATAACTGGAAAACGCAAATAGTGAAACCTGGTAAAGATCCCCAAGACCCATTATCGTATAGACCTATAGCATTGTTGTCCACCCTTTGTAAATTTTTGGAACATCTTATTAAAAGTAGGCTAGAATGGATTATTGAAAACAATGGAATCCTATTTAAATCATAATTTAATAGACAGCATTGTCGTGAAACGAGGTTTCTCCGTCAATACTTCGACGATTCCAGTAATCGTAGACGACACATTTGCATATGACAATGCTCAACTTCCTTTACCCAGGCAAAAACTTCAAAATCTGAGTCTTCAAGCGAGGTTGATAAACATTATAAGTAGCGTATATGTCTAGAACTGTTACGATCAGGGCTTTCCTCAAGGTTACGTTTTACGTCCGCTGTTATACAATCTGTACACATATGATCTGGGCAGATCATTTAACAGCTTCTACAAAATACTACAATATGCTGATGCTATAGCACTGTATATCTCCTCCAAGGACCTCAAAGATGAGTATGGAAATTTTGTAATGGAATCCTGCATTAAAATAACTCTGAGAAATTAACACAGATTCAATCCAAATGTTCTCGCATAATTACTGGCCCCATGCGTTCCTCCTCAATAAACGCCATGCAGGTAGAATGCATGCCTCGAATCCTCGCTTTATCTTAGACGCAAGCTAATGAGTGATTATATTTATTTAATATTGCACAATACTCAAACCACCCACTAGTAGAAAAACTAAAAAAATGAGAAATCATAATACAAATTCAACTTACTGGATACTAAATATGGAACTCCCTCCCCTAGTCAAAAGTCTTAATAATCTTAAAAAGCTAACATCTCCAATCTATCAATCGTCTAAACTCAGCCTTGTCTTCTTTTACCCAGACATTGACAGAATCGTCACGGTATGAGACGCAGCCATAATCACCAAAATTGAATTAAATTGTCATAGTGTCTATGGAAACTAAGCAGCGTTCCTACCGGACATAAGGACAAACTGGCTTTTTCCATAGAAACTTTGATATAGCGATACGAATACTTTTTCGCTAGTTGTTCGTGCAATGAGTACTGTGGTACTTTTCTCATACTTTCACAGGAACCTAACATTTTCTACGATAAAAGGTGTAGAAATATATATACACTTTGTTTAAATTCAGGTAATGAGCTGTCTGTTTGTCAAATCCAAATCCATTCTGCCGTTTTTGCGATAGCAAACGAGTAGTAAACATCCAAAACTATTAAATTTATAGGATTTCATACTTTTATTAACCTATTTAATTTCCGTAAGTGGTTTCATCAAACCAAGCCAATAATCATGACCGAATCATAAATATAAAAAAATCAAATTCTCTAAAAACTTAAAGACTTTGCCATGGTGTAGAACTATGTACTTAACAAATTTTTTTTTTATCCTTTCAGGTCATGTTATTTCTCATCTGGTCTGTGGTGCTCATAGTAGCCCTGATCTTATACTACAAGAAGACCTACTCCGCCTTCTCGAAATATGGCGTGAAAAATATGACTCCAATCCCATTGCTGGGAAACGGTTTCAGCGTTTTAATAGGGAGAGAGCATATAGTCGACAACTCGATGCGTATATACCAGCAATATCCTGAGGAAAGGTTAACATTTTTCCTTTTAATGCTGACTTTTTATGACTTTTATACACTGTGTTATAACCGTTATTTCTAACTATATTGAAAAACGCTTTGTCTCTTTCCCGGGACTCGGTGTGAAGATAGATAAATTAGTTACCATTACCAACCTATCACATACAACAACAGTCTACGATAGTATTAGTAATCGAAAAACTTTTACTGTTTGCAAAAAGAAATTATCATTGGAAACTAAACATAATTAGTTTAATTTTCTCAGGTTCTTCGGTCAATACGAATTCTTGCGGCCGTTGGTTATAGTTAAAGACATAGAACTCATTAAACAGATTACTATAAAAGACTTCGAGTACTTTTTGGATCATAAAACTATGGTGGACGGCAGTATAGATCCTCTATTTGGAAGAAATTTGTTCTCATTGAAAGGCAAGTAATTCCTGCTTGCAATTACAGACGATATAGATTAATTACTACTGCAAAATTTTATGCAGTTTTAATGGGTTTAATAGACATTTCCACATTTTTTTATTCAGTCTTTTAATTTTAGGTGAAGAATGGAAAGATATGCGCTCTACTCTGAGCCCTGCTTTCACCAGCTCCAAAATGAAAATGATGCTTCCATTCATTGTGGAAGTAGGCAACAGGATGACTGATACACTTAAGAAACAAATCAAAGAATCAAATGGTTAGTTAATTAGTGCTTTTACAACTTACCATAGTTTTGTAACAACAAATATCAACGAGATGATTTAACATTTTTTAACATAATCTTGTGCTCATTGGGCTTTCAATTTCTTTTATCGTTTCTTAGACGACGTCTTTAACGTCGTCTAAGAAATCATAAAATACCTAATACCCACACTGCCGCGACCTCTTAATAAACAATTTGCTTTAATAATTATGGTCATGATGATGTTCATCTTGATATTGGATCATGGTTCAACTTGAAATGGCATTATAATAACCTACACCAATCCAGGCTTCTTCGATCTTTGTGAGATTCTACGATTTATGAAATGTTGTTGCAAAAGGTTTTTGAGCTTAGAACCAATGTGAGTGAAAATTGGAGCCGAGCTTTTACCCAAAACAGAGAAAGAAACAAATAGCCTGCTGCGATATTAAATTTTCTGTAATAATTCATTAACATTTTATGATTACAGAAAAGTACTTGGACATCGAAGGTAAAGATTTGACTACTAGATACGCAAATGACGTCATCGCTTCTTGTGCCTTTGGTCTCAAAGTAGACTCGTTCGCCGAAGAAAACAACGAATTCTTGAGAATGGGCAAAGTTATCACAAACTTTGGGTTATCAGCTTTCCTAAAATTTTTCATGTTTCTTTACTTGCCAGTTCTTACGAAGGTACGTAATACATGTTTATGTATATTTTCTTTTAATACATCCCATAATATATTCTAATTATTACAGATGCTGAATATCAAATTGTTTTCTGACACCACCGCAAATTTCTATAAAAACCTTTTCATGAATACTATGAACGACAGAATAACAAATAACATAGTACGACCAGACATGATCCATTTATTGATGCAAGCTAAAAAAGGTTAGTTTAGTCTTAGAGTTACGTATGTGTCTCATCAATTACACCTATTAGTCATGAGGCAACTACGTTTAAAATATATGAATATATTTTTTCAAATATTTGCAGGTAAATTAGTGCAGGAAGAAAAACCATCCAAAGAAGCAGACGCAGGTTTTGCTACTGTAGATGAATCTAATATTGGAACGAAGACTGTAAACAAGGGTAAAAAATTGAAATACGTAAAGTAATAGAAAACTTGAAGTGAATCTTCATCATATCAGCTGCTATCGTATCATAGCTATCGATAATAAGTTAAATAAAATAATTAAATTAATATTCAAGTTTAATTTCACAGATTGGTCTAATATTGATTTAATAGCTCAAGCAGTTTTATTTTTCCTTGCTGGTTTCGAAACAGTATCTACTGCAATGACTTTTGCTTTATATCAAATGGCCGCCACTCCTGAAATCCAAGAGAAACTTATCCAAGAAATCAAGGAAAACGATATTAAAAATGGTGGAAAGTTTGACTTTCACTCAATACAGAATATGACTTACATGGATATGGTAATTTCAGGTAATTATATCTTGCATTTTATGTGCTTACACTGTAAATATCTTAAAGAACTATGAATGCCTCTTTCTACCAATTCGATTGTTTCAAGTAAAATTTATCTTTAGATTTGAAGTAATTTCAAATGAAAACTGAATAAAAAAAAACAAGTCCAGCAGACTAAATTTAATTTAATTGATCTATTATTGAAAAAAAAATATCCATTTTAAATATCTAATGGGTGCTGGTAGCAGGACTGCTACCAGCACCCATTAGATATTAGGTACCCCAGTAAGCAATCGGGATTTTCGATTTATTAAATTTACCTTTTTTTATTTATGCTTTATTTGGTATTGTTGACGTCTATTCATTATTATCATTTGCAGAGGTACTGCGATTGTGGTCTCCAGCTATAGCTCTCGACAGAATATGCACAAAAGATTATAACCTGGGAAGAGCAAACGACAAGGCGCCAAAAGATTATATCGTAAGAGAAAACCCATTACACATTATATTACTTCGTGAGCACTGGTTCAGCTTTCGTATTAGCTTATCTATATTAATCTATTGATATTCTTTCGGTAACAACTCTTCTAATTTTATAAAAGACTAACCTAAACGAAGCGTTAGACAATACTTTACTTTATTAAATCTGTGTTTGAAAAGTTTGCAGCTCGCTTTGTTTTTCTTATTAATTTAGATTCAGCAAGTCTTTATAATCGGAAGATAAAATAGTCTAATTGATTTCCATAATCACTTTTTAAGATGCGCAAAGGTGACTGTCTCCAGATTCCGAACTGGGCTATCCACCGGGATCCCAAATACTTTCCGAACCCCACAAAGTTCGACCCAGAAAGGTTTTCCGAAGAGAATAAGCATAACATTCAACCTTTCTCATATATGCCTTTTGGATTAGGCCCTAGAAACTGCATTGGTAAGAAACTTTATTATTTTTAAATACAGTTGGAAGAAAAATCCCCTGGAAAATCATTTTTAACATATTTTTATTATGGACGATAATCCTGTTACAAAGCCTCCACTGGCGACAGACTGTACTGTATCCTTAGCACGAACCAATATCGAATTTGTCACGTTTGCGAGTCCGGAATGTCATTGTCCAATGTGTACTGATTTTTAGTTCTCCTTACATACTTTGTGGCGCTGCTGTTCAAGTATCCATACAAAATTTGACATATAGCACTCGCAAACTATTCGAATTCGATAATGGTTCGTGCTTGGGGTACTGAATACGGAGTAAATACTTGAGGTATACGGTCAAGAACCGTAGACAAGAAGACAGATGAAATTTTCACAGCGTTTATGTATTAGCCGCAATAACAACAAAGTAATAGTATGCAATTGTAAAGATAATTTGAAAGGGTCCCCATAAATAGAATCTTATTTTACGTCGTTTTCACACAAGCTTGATAAATTACCGTATGTTACATGTTAAAGGATTGTACCATGGTTTTTATATTTTATCCTTGCTTAGCTGCTTGCCGGTTTTAATCTATAAAGGAATTTTCGAACGTAGTTTGTTTTTTATCGGAATCTTGAAAGCCAGACCTAATCGCATCTAAATATTAAAATAATTTAATAAAATACTTTAAACTGCTTGTCAAGAGTGTTTGATACAATGACCACATACGTGACCAACAGCATGACTACGAAAGCCTGAAAATGTTTCGAAATATCAACTATCTTGATGTAAATTTTCATTTTTTTCTATAAAACTGATGGGAGTGATACAACAAATTAAAAAATACGTCCCAGTGCGAGAGGACTAGCGCACGAAGGGTTTCGTACAGTTATCTATACATAGGGCTGCCATCTCTAAAATGTGGCAACCAGGATACGACGCGTGATAACCCCGGATTTTGGAGCCCAGAACCCGGACAGACCAATAAAAAAACAGTTAAAAATGTCACAAATCAACTTTTTTATGTTGATCTAGGCAAAAGAGCTAGCGGTCTACCTCATAATAAGTGGTCACTACTGCTGCCCATGGACACTTGCAGCGCCAAGGGCCACTTATGCGTTGCCGTAAATTTTTAAACCCGGACTACAAATAAAACCCCGCCCGGACGCTCCCCGGACGCCCCGTAAACTAGGACAAATCCGGGGAAACCCGGACGGATGGCAGCCCTATCTATACAGAATTAGATACTATATTATAAAATAGAGCAAAAACGGGCAAAAAATACATCCGTTGTATAGAAACCCCCCTAAAGATAAATAATTAAATTAAATAAAATAAAGATTTATGCTGTAAATAAGTTTTTATTTTAGTTTAATTATTTACTTTTAATGAATATGCAACTAAAAATTTAGTTAATATTTCAAGCGTCTACCTGTTGCCGTTATTTTTATAGAGCAAAAAGCGGCAATAAATTACAGTTGTTGTATGGGAGTCCCAATTAATATATTTATTTTAGTCTGTGTTTAGTATTTATTGTTAAAGCGGCATTAACAATAAATACTAAACACAGAAGCGGCATACATCATCCGTAAAAATTTCAACTGTCAAGCTACCACCGTAAATAAGATACAACATGGTGACAGACAGACAGGCAGTGGAGTCATAATATACACCCCGGCATACTTCTTTAGCAACGACCATAGACAAGGAACCCTGCGCGCGCAGTAGCAATTTTTTATACAAAAACGTCTACTGCGCAGGGGCGTCTTAACCATATGCGGCGCCCGGGTGCAAAAGCTAACAATGCGCCCCCTTTTTCAAAAATTTGACAAATTTATTTTCATGTATGTATACAATAATAAAATATTGGCAATAATTCCAACTCATGGAATAGATCTTCCCCATCTATGTCAGAGCTCAGTCCTGAAGTTAGTTTTTGCTGTAACTTCAAAAACACAACACAACTGCAACAGTTGAGACATTACAAATACAAATACAAGCGCTTTATTTCCATACCTTATTATGACATTATTATTAAATATGAGTTGGAAAAAGAAGTAGGCACAGCGCAGTTGGTTTTAAGCCTACCCATCGTCAAATTTTTGTGGTTAGTTATAATTCAATTTAAATTCAATTATTATTAATAGCCAATTAAATGTCAAATATATTAATTACAATGTCAATTCATTTAGATGTCATTCAAAGCTTAGTCAATTCAATGTCACGTTATATTACGCTTTTTTGTTCAATATTTGACTCACTCCGTTGATCAATGTTTTGCAGAAATGAAAAATGCTATTGTTTTCTGTTAACAATTCGAATAGCTCGTTTAATTTTACTATTGCGGTGTCAAGTAAAGAATTATAAAAAAATACTTTAAAATTTCGTTTGGGATCTAAGATAGGTTCGTCTACAGCTTAATTAAAATATCTTCTTCGGGGACGTGGTCGAGCAGTTTGAATATTCGGTTTGACAGTCTAGTTCCTGAGCAATTAAAACAGATTCAGATATTACCTGCTCAAATATACTATCCGTGCAACTTGTGCTGAGATCTTTTTTAGCCATATTACTCATCTTGACCGCCTCTAAAATGATTATGTCTGACTTTTGTAAACTCTTACTCACAATATTAACTTTTGACAAAATGTCATACCAAATGACGACTGAATTTAAATTCTTTATTTTGGATATTAACGAACTGGCTGTATTTTTAGAGTCATTGTCATATTTGTCCGTCGAAAATATGGAAAACAACGCATCGTATATTTTGTCCATGTTAAAACGGAGTACTTTTAGGGCATCCGTTTGACTTTCCCATCGCGTGTTCGACAGAGGTTTAATAGTCAAAGTTGGTATTTGGGTCATAATCCCATCCCATTGAAGCAGACCCGTTGAAGCAGAAAAAAACGTAAAATTCCTGAACTACTGAGAAGAAATTGGTATTTTCTTGAGAACTTTTAGCTGCGTCATTGACCACAAGAGGAGACGGAACGAAAAATGCGCTGCATTGACCACAAGGTTAAGACACGGAACGAAAAATGCACGAGAATTCATATCCAGAATTTTTTGGATGTCTATATTTTTTCCTCGCATATTTGAACCGTTGTCACGTATCCTTGGTCATGCAAATCACTGAGTTCAATATCAAAAGATTTTAAAAAATCAACAAAATTATTTGCCAAACTCTGTCCAGTGGTATCAGTCACAAGTAAAAGCCCTAAAAAATGTTCTCTTATTTCAGGAAGCTTGGTTGAGGGGTTGTTATATACAAATCTTACAATCACAGTAAGTTGTTCTTTGTGTGAGATATCAGGTGTGCAATCTAAAATCAAGGAATAAAATTTAGATAGTTTTAGAAGTTCAACAATAGTTGATTGAATATTTTTGGAAATTATATCAATCAATTCGTTCTGAATATTGTGGCCAAGGTAATGTGGCATGCGACGTTGAGCACTTTAAGTTTGAGCAATGTGTTCTGTTCTGAGATTACGTGGGCGACTCAGAAAGTTTTGAAAAACTAAAAAACTAACTTCTATGTAAAAATTTTTTTTATTAAATCTTTTTAAAGGACTCTCAACCAGCCTCCATGCAAAGTTTCATGCATTTGAACCAATTTTCAAAACATGTTTTCCAGTCCTCCGCAGACACCTCTTCCACGGCCTTCTCAAACGCTGCTAGCGCTTCTTCCGGCGATGAAAATTGTATCCCTTTGAGCTGATTTTTTATTTTAGGGAATAAAAAGAAGTCACACTCCTGCTGCTCCTCGCTGCACTCCTCGATCGCTTCACTTTTGTAGGCGTTGGTTCATTTTGAAACAGCCAAACTGTCGTCTGACGCTTTGTTTCTGGATCGTACTGATAAAGCCAGGATCACCTGCCAGAATATCGTAACCGCGCCGTGACGAGCCTGCATCAATTTTTTGTATCATATCACTACACCAATCCACACGGGCCTGCTTCTGAGCTTCGGTGAGGTTGTGCAACACCCAGCGGGAAACTAACCTCCTTACGCAAAGGTGCTCGTGCAAAATCTTGTGAACACTCCTGACCCAATCTGCAGAGTATGCTGAATCGAGTATGCGAAATTCGTCCGTTTTCTTGAATTATTTTTTTTGCTGCCAGCACACTTTCTTCGGTGACAGCCGTCGTAGGACGACCACTCCTTTGTTCATCCCCCAAAGTAAGATGAAGAGATAGATAGTTGCTTTTGAAGGTCCTTCATCCATAAAAGCAGTTCGAAATCGATCAAATGACTCATCAGGTTTAAAATCGTAAAAAATCATAGTACGAAAATGTTCTCGATGCAGATCCATTTTTTAATGAGACAAAAAAATGTAATCGACTCTCGAAAAAATGCGAAGGGAAATTTGAAAATCGAACAGTGGTATTTTTACTTTTAAATAATCGAAGTTTTCAAAATAATTACAAGTGGGCAGTGTCTTATACAAAAATCTAATTATGTCTATTATTCTGGTCAAAACTGCAGTCCACCTCTTCTTTTCACGTTCTATTTCATCTTGAAAGACAGAGTCTACTGTTCGGCCCTTCACTAAATATTTTTTTAGATCTATGTTTCTTTAACACAATTTATGTAACTTGAACTTTTCTCGTGTCTTTCTAAATTTCTAGACAAATGAACCCAATCTTTGGAACCAGTCTGAGAATTAAATGGACTTACGTAGCATTGAAAAGTTTACAATAAAAGCAGAATACACTATCTGCAGATGACGAATATACGAGCCAATCGCGATGAACCACTTCAGCATTGTTTTAAGTGTGATGTCGTGACCTGATTGGTGCGATAGGCGGCGCGCGAGTAGAGACAAACACTTCCTTTGAGTTTGACTGAGTTGACCAGAAAAACGCTAACAATTATTAAAACTGACTGCATGTATGTATTACTTAAATCAAGTTTTAATTTTGTTTTCGAAAATTTATTTAAAGTAATATTTATAAAATTGTATTTGGATAAGGTAGGTAGGTACTATCTACCACCATATTCATTCGGTGTTGATCGCCCGGTCTGGCTGGCTCCTCCTAGGGCCCGGCTCATGAGAAAGACGCCCATGCTCCTGCGCAAGTTTATTTGTCTGTGATTTTGCTCAAGATGTTTGCCGCTACTTTATAATGAGTTCCCATTTTTACCCTTTGGGTATGGAACCCTAATTATAGCGATGATAATCTTTACAGCTTCCAGGTTCGCTCTGTGCGAAGTGAAAGTGATGCTGTACCAAATCCTGCAGCATTTCGAGGTGGAAGCTTGTGAGAGGACCTGCATCCCACCAGAATTTATTCCGGGTCAATTCAACCTCAACCTCAAAGGTGGCACTTGGATACGCTTGAGGATAAGACAATGATATACCTTTGTTATATAATCTATACCTATAACTACCAAACGTGATTAAATAACTGGCGATAAGAAAAGAAAAACATTTGTAACAGAAAAAATTCCCTGTTAAGTATTTATTTTCCACTTTATCAATAAGATAGGTATTATATTATCAGTCTGTTACGATAATAAGTTTTATTCGTTTTCTCTCTATTTTTAAAATTAAATACCTGATAAAATGTTTTATACCTAACACAAACAATACTTAACTCAAAGATACATTTATATTATTAGAATTTAAGAAAATTAAATAAAAGATTTTCTTGTATCAATGTTTAACGTTTTAATAGAAATCACATGTTTTTTACAATTTTGGTTTTATTTTTCTTATCAACAAAACAACAATTTGTTATATGTATATAAGCAGGCGTAAATGTGAAAACCGGTCAAGTTCGTGTCGTTCCACGCGCAGTGAGAGTTCCGTCGTTACAATATCAGGAATCTGTGATAGTGCGTTTCAAGTGCTCCTATACATCTACTATATAAAAATAAGTCGGGTTTTCCTTCCTGACGCTATAACTCCAGAACGCACGAACCGATTTCCACGGTTTTGCATTCGTTGGAAAGGTCTCGGGCTCCGTGAGGTTTATAGCAAAGAAAATTCAGGAAAAATTAAAAAAAAATCGTTTCTTTTAATCACATAACGAAATGTTACAAAAAACGAAGCTATCTGGTGGCGAAGCGGAGTTCGCTGGGTTTGCTAGTTATTTATAAAAACGTAACGAAAGCGCGATTTAGAAGCCCTTGGTACAGCACGATCCAGAAGCCGTTGGTACAGCGCCATCTAGCGGCAGCTTTGAAGAACTAATGACATTATTGTGGTTTTCTAAATTGATTTTTTTATATTTTGTTTTTCAAAGAAAAGTTTTGCATGTTATAAACAAGCAATTACTCCATCTAAGTGACATTTATGTTTTAAGTTTAAGGAATTTCGGACGGAGTATAAATGAAGAAAACCTATGGAAACGATGAAACAACGGATATACGTCGCGAGCGTCACACGACTATATATATATGTAAGTGCCTGTGTGTGCGTGGGATGCGTGCGCAGCTCTTCTTGACTAGCATTAAGGTTGGAGGGTAACTCGGCCAACTCGGCGAAGGCTAAAACGCTACGAGCGTCACACGCGACAATATACATACATGTTACGCTCAAAGATCGAAAACGCTCAGTGAGCGGAAAAATAGCTCACAACGCGTTGTGGTCACAGTAAAACATCCACATCGCGAAATTCGTGTTATGGCTATAATGAAAACGCGCACGACGCGTTGTGGCAATCACAGAAAGACCAAATAGCGAAATTCGTGTCGTGGCTGACATGCTATTCGATCTCAACGCGTTGTGGCAATGAAGAAAAGCCATGACGCGTATGGAATATTATTTAATTACGACGCACACTACTTTCCGATATGGATCCTACTAGGCCTAGGCTGGAAACGTTTTGGTAGATGTCTTTAGGAAATATTTGATAAAATCACTGCATAGCGTGTTTGTCATTATTAAATATGTTATATAATTATATTATTTAAAATAAAACGATATTTGTTATTTATTGAGATTACTTTATATTTTAAAAAATCAACGTATTAAGTAATAAATTACTGAACACAAAATATTAATCAATTGTTAATTACTTATAATTAATTCACTTAAAATAATTAGAGATTTTAATTATTTTATGACAATTTAAAATTCTTTCAAGTAATAAAAATATTTTCACAAACATAAATGTTTATTGATCACCAATAAACAACAACAATGTACTTAAATCAATACTTATATTAGAAATTACTATAATTGTGAAAAATAAGTACTTGATTGCTATTTATTTTTGTAGGAACTATTACTGTACTGTATTTTGAGTTGCATTTTATATTATTGGAGCGATACTTGCACTTTTTATCAATACATTATCTTTTGCAGTGGCACATTATAAACCCTTTCTTACTTCCAGATGATAACATAGATGCTGAGCGAAGTGTTAATGACGAAGTTGAGGGCACATCACAAAAGTTAATGAAGTTGGTTTCAGAAAGTGTAAACTCAGTACGTGCATAAAGTCTATCGAATGTACCTTCCTTGTTTCCTAACTGGTAGAGACCTGATGAATTAATGATCACAACAACACACATAACATTCCTGGGTGCTGCACGTCCTCTATCAACTTACAACCTGTCCGTCGTGATATGGTTAAAACAATGAATGCTCAGAACGCGTCATGGCTTTTCTTCATTGCCACAACGCGTTGAGATCGAATAGCATGTCAGCCACGGCACGAATTTCGCTACTTGGTCTTTCTGTGATTGCCACAACGCGTCGTATGCGTTTTCATTAGAGCCATAACACGAATTTCGCGATGTGTATGTTTTACTGTGACCACAACGCGTTGTGAGCTATTTTTCCGCTCACTGAGCGTTTTCGATCTTTGAGCGTAATATACACATATATGAGTGATGGGTGTACTGCTCCATTTTCCTATGCACCGCCTAGTGTTTGGTTATTTAAGAAAAGAAATTTCACTTCAGATGTTTGGTCCGTTCACACAATTTTTTTTAATACATAAGTTGAATGACTATTATTCTTAAACTAATTGATCTATCTTGACTGTTATAATTTTTCTTACTAGTTCATGCCAAGCACTATTCATCATCATCATCATCATCATCAGCCTATTAATGTCCCCACTGCTGGGGCACAGGCCTTCCCTATGGATGGAATAGGGAGATTGGGCCATGACCCACCACGCGGGCCCAGTGCGGATTGGTGGGTGCTAACGACTACAAATGCAGCCGGGACCAACGGCTTAACGTGCCTTCCGAAGCACGGAGGAGCTCGAGATAGTAAATTTTTGGTCACCCATCCAATGACCGACCACTGCGAAAGTTGCTTAACTTCAACGATCGCAGCCGAACGCGCTAGCCACCTGCGCCATCGAGCTCCTCTTACAAGCACTATTATCATATTTTTTTCCAGATTTTTCAAGCCAATAGTTTAGCTTTTACTTTCTAGAGCGGGTCTTGACATCTTGAAAGACAGGCGGAGAAAGTGCCATGGGTTCTTCTTCACGTGGCAGAACCGTTTTTCTTGCATATTCTAAAACAATATTACGTTGCCATTTTATTATAATTATTTTTTTTAAGTTGTCTCTAACAGGGAAAATAAACACACAAAGAATTTATGAGCACATTTTTTTTCACTCAGAGTCTAGAATTTAACAATAAATAAACATACATTTAACATAATTTCAAAAACTTACCATTTCGTTAAAAGTGATTCGTAATACGATGGTGATGTCACGGTATTTTTGCGAAAAGGAATTAGCATTTTCAAATATTACCGATTTATAAATTTTTGTCTGCGCTAATGTGAATGAATTTCTATGTAAAAGTTCCTGATATAGCTGACATAGGTCTTTACATGTAAAATTAAACAAGTTCGCACTCGATCTTACCTATTTTGTTATATATCTGAGAGTTCCTACCGATATCATATTGCTGATTATAAGGTAAGCATGTGGTTTGATGTAACGACTACTCGAGACACGCTCGATTTGTATTTTATAACATTCAAGTTTCTATTGTTGTGTCTTAAGTGTGGAAAATAAATAATTTGGGCTATCGGATGGTACATAGCCCCATAACCGGTAGACACTAACAATAACAGAGTGATGCATTGCCTACTATAATCCCACCCCTACTCCGTGGAACTTTGGAAACATAACTCCCTGACAGAAACAACACTGTGACCTTCTGAAAGAGTGTCACTAAACACTGTTTCGAACCTAATTGAACCATATGAATTTAGGAATAATATAATCATATTCAAATATTATTTTTATAAACACGGGGTATTAGTTTAAAAAAATCTAAAATCATTCAAAAATTAAAATATATTTTAGTTCATAAATCTTACTGACAATCATTTGCTAATGTTTAATAATTCGAACCACTCAGCTACTGTAGCTGAGTGGTTCGAATTATTGAATATGCCTATAATTTACATTATATAATTTTAAAGTTACTACATATTTTAAAATTTTCAACCAATCCAAACACGCAAAATCTTAAAGAACACTTACACGATTGTCATAATGTTTTTTGTGCTCAAAATTTTGTACCACCCGGCTCAAAACAAAAAAAAACTTATTACTAATTTATTCAATAAATATCATTATTTAAAACAAGTTTCAACGAGTTAAATGCACTGATTTTATGTATTTTAACTTGTTTTATTTAATGAGTGTTTAGGTTTTCACCTAAGAAACAAATAAATATCATTATTGTCATTCACTATGTTTACTTAAAGTCATGTGTTTGATAATGGATTACATCTAAAGTGAATTCATAAAGCGAAAAAATTCAAACAGAGCCCATATTTAAAAGAATATATCGATTTAAACACGGAATTGAGACAAAAATCGATTTCACCTTTTTGAACAAGATTCTTTTAAACAACAGTATTTTCGAAAAAACATTGGAAGATACTGAGCGTAGAGTTGACGTAAAGCTTATTAGTACATGGCACGACAATGGCAATAAAACAAATAAACAATTTTGTGCTGAGCAACTAATACTTCCACAGCTCTACTGTGTTAAATGAAAACTTAGTAGCAATACAATTAAAAAGAGAAAAAGTTATTTTGAATAAAACTAATTTCATCGGTTTTTCAGTTTTAGAAATATCAAAAACTCATATATAACTTTCACTATGAAAAAGTTCTACGACGAAAAATTGTCGTTATGTTATATCGACACTGATAGATTATTATACTAAACACAAGCAAAAGTTTTTTTAAGATATAAAAGACCATTCTATCGATCACTTTAATACGAGCAATTACTCTGCTCAACACCGTTTTGGTATCGTTCTAAAAATAAAAAAAATAACTAGTTTGTTTAAATATGAATTATGTGGTAAAATTATATTAGGGTGTGGCGGATGTATTTTGTTACTTAAATTAAAATTATTAGTATATGTTTATCAATAAATGATTTTTTAGTCTATGTGATTCAACCAAGTTATTCTGTGGTTTTTTTGTTGTAAAAATAATACGCAATTACTT